TCATCGACATAACTGGGAAACTGAGACCCTTTAGTTTTCTTCCCTATATGAAGTCATATGATCCATCAACTATACGATTATATACTGTTTCGTACAAGTGAGGTTTTTTCTCCTTGCTTAGTGATTTCTCTTTTCCTATGATGTTTACTGAGAGAAGATGATTCAAATGTTCTTGGCTTGTTTCCTTGTGCTATCAGTACTTTTCTAATGCCTCTCTGTAGACTGTAGTTTATGTTCGATTATTTTTATATTGGTATTACTGGAGTATTCGTTCGGTCTATGCTGAATCTGATTCGGCTAATGGTTAAGAATGTAAAATTAACTCGGAGGGTTAACATTTTATCTAACGAAAGTGCTAAGCAATTATGCTGTAATCTCTCCATAGGAATGAAAATGGAAGACGTATATCCTTTTCTTTTGGCAGTGATTTCTGTGTTATGATGCACACAAAAAATTACTCGTAATTAATTTATTTATAATACCTTCTATTAATATATTTTTGTGGTGAAAATAGGTTTTTGGAGTATTATATGTATAATTAGTTTTTCTTTTTTTTATAATATATCTACTCCTTGCATAGTAAATACATATGTTTTATTTAATACATAGTAGATACACTAGGGACAAGTTAAAATCTAATTTTTATAAATAATTATCTTTTGAAATAAAATCATTTGAATATTCTATTTAGAATAACAGTATTCATTTATTTAATATATGTCAGATATTATATTTTATACGTAAAAGTAATTGGATGATATTTTTTATTTGATAATTAAAATGAAAAATATGTTAATCAGCATTTTAATATATAATATATTATTTATGCTGTAATTATACTTATAATTATATACAATTAATATTCTTTTCTAATCCACCCGCCCGATGAAAACGTGATTGTTAATCTATTCGTTGTGAGATGGTGATAGGGACACGTGGAATATGGTAGAGTTGCCCACAACGAGGTATTTATAGTGACCTTTTCTTTTGTACGTTTCTCCTATCGTGGGTACTTCTTGGATGCGTATTCCTGTATAAATAGCAAGCGGAGTTTTACCCTCGGCTCTCACTCAGATCGTTTCGGAGTTTGACTCTCTGGATTCTCTTCCACTTCTGATCATCATTGACCGTTATCCTGAAGAAAATGGCGGAGCGGAAGCAAGAGGAAGTGGAGGTCATTCACTCGTGGTCCGCTCCGAGATCACTCAGTACCAGCCTTATGTACTCATTTGCACAGGTCTCGAGTTCTTTTTTTATTTTCTTTTTTTGGTGTTATTCCGTTTTGTTTCTATAAAACGACGAACAGCAAAGAAGGAAATGAAGCGAAATGTTTGAATTTATTGCAAGCTTTTGAGATAATTTAGCACCACAATCAAATCGGTATAACCTGCTACTAGTGTCATTTTTAGTGCACCAACTTTTAGTGTTTGCTGGACATTGACTATATTGAATTGAAGAAACTGGAAGTCAATCTGAATTTCCTTTTTCGTGTTTCTATAAGAGGCTGAGACTCTTGAGAGAAATGAACTATTTGATTAGACTGAAACTGAGCTTTAAATATTCGTCATGACACATGTTTGATGTTTCCTACAATAATATTCCCGTTCTCTATTACGGTTGCTGGAGAAGTTGAATGTGGGAAGGAGAAAAGAGAATGGATGTATCTTTTTGGTTTTGGTCTTTTCATCCTTGAAACTTTAAACAGAAATGCATATATATTCGTCATCCTTACTGCGTCATTCTGTTGTTTGAAACTTTCGAAACTATACTTGAAAATTGTGGTGGAAATTTGTCAAAATTTTGCTGCAAGTATAATGTCTAGTACTGATGTCTTCATGTGTTATAGGAATGTTATTACATGGTCTTTTCATATGCTATTGCTGAAGCCTCACATCCCACACTTGTAATGCCTATTTTCTAATGATCTCAAGAACACTTCCGGATGGGAGACCTGCACTGTTATAAAGAGCATTGGAGTCGACCTACGTGATATTAGTCACTACCATATTAGATGTGTGAATTCATTTGTTGCGGAGTTTGGGACCAAGGAGCCAGAATGTGTCTGCTTTTTGGATTTTATTGGAGTCCTAGGGACAACAACTGTTTGTGTTTATGACTCTCAGAAATTAAGTATTTCTGTAGAGGAAGTTTATGATGATTTACAAAAAAAGTGTGGTATATTTTTTGTGGCCCAATGACTCACGAGTAGCATGCTTAGTTAGCACTTTAGATGACAAGCTCGTAGTATTGCCAAACTATCACTTGCTTCATTAAAGGGAGAATAGCATGACTGCGGGAAAATTCATAATTTCTTAAGTTTCTTCTTGCGTCTCATCTACTTATCATACAGTTATATTTTATGCTTCTAGAGGGATGACATTGAAGTGCTTGATGAGCCACTCTACGCAACTTTCCTTCGGGTAACAGGTGTTGAGAGGCCCTACCGAGAGGAGGTTCTATCCAAGATGGTATGTTAGACAAAGCATCACTATATTCCAGGGCATAATTACATTTTTTATATAAATACTAGATGTTGCTTTTTTGTTACATTTTAAGATAAAATAAGCTGTTCTATATGGGTCTTTCAATTGTGTCAAAGAGAAAGTTTCTGATTAGTTAGGAAATTCCTTTGTAATAAGTTTATATTTCTAGAACTTTAATTCCAGATTTAGAAGCAGCTTTTACGATACTTTTATAAAACATTTTCTGCACTGACACTCTTCCTTTGGGACTTGGGATTGAGTGACAGAGCAGAGCTTTTTGGATTAGTTTACGGATTGGACTGTTTCATACACTGACTTTTTGGATTAGTTGACCAGTTTATAGTTGAATGGACCATATAAGGTGCAATAACATTTATTTTATGTTTTCATTTTCTTAATACATTATATTTTGTTCTTCACGTGTCTTCTTGTGCTTGGTTTTGAATCTTTAGTTCTCCAAATTTGTGTAGGAAACTGATGGAACTAAGGTTGTAAAAGAAATCATCTATGGTTCAGGAGGAAAGAAGTACCGGTTTTGTAAGGTAATATGCAAATTCTTTCATCATTTATGCATAAGTTTGTTATGATACATTCAGATACTAATTGCAATCTGGGAAGATGCTTTCTGGTTGAATTTTCTTTGCATTTATTTTTTTGAGCTCAAGTTCTTCATGGTTTAAACTTGAGAGCTTTATTGTTCTTTTCTTTTTCAGAAGAAAAAATTTAAAGAAAATATTTTTGTAGGCTAATACAATATAAGTAAAAGAAAATTTATATGGGTAGCTGAATACCCCAGCAGAAGAGGTTTGCTGCAATAATTGTGCACTAGATTACAAGATACTAATACAAATCAAAAGTTTGGTTGTGTTCAAGATCTGTTGATGTCATGCTGGTACTAGTTTCTTTATTAGGGAACTGCTTTCCTAGTTCTGCTTTAAGATGTTGTTGATCAAGGATGTATGAATCAAACATTTAAAAGAGAGAGAGAGAGAGAGAGAGAGAGAGATAGAAAAGAGAACCAATCCAAATATTTATATGATATATCTGCATTATCTCTTAATATTTTGCTTAATAATTCTTGGATGCTGTTTTTAGTTCCCAAAGTAAAAAGATTATTTAGATTAAATGGTGGTATACTAATATGGATCGAACAATTAACACTATCTTTTTCTTTTTGTGGAAAATGAGATATACATTTTATTGAATATTAGGGCCCTATATATACAATTTCATATGAGTAATAAAAGGAAATACATCTAGATATGGGTAGATTATTAATTTATCATTTATCTTACTTAATATATAACTCCTAACGCTCTCTCTCAAACTGGTAAATAGATATTATCCATTCCCATCTTGGTAATAATAATCTAAAATGCAAGATTGTTCAACAATTTTGTCTACACATTTGCAAGTTGCAAATAGTGGGAATAGAAGGTGTGCATATCAATTACTATCCAGTTTTTCTTTGATTAAAGGAAATACACTTAATTAATGCAATCTTTTTCTTTTTGTGGAAAATGAAAATATATATTTTATTGAATATTAGGGCCCTATATATATAATTTCATATGAATAATAAAAGGATATACAATTAATTATCAAGAGATGGGTAGATTATTAATTTACCCTTTATCTTACTTAATGTAGAATTCCTAACGCTCCCTTTCAAACTAGTAAATAGATATTATTTATTTCCATCTTGGTAATATTAGTTTAAGATGCATGATTGTTCAACCCTTTAGTCTACACATTTGCAAGTTGCAAAATAGTGGGTATGGAAGGTGTGCGTATCAATTACTATCCAGTTTTTCTTTGATGAAAGGAAATACACTTAATTAGTGCAGTCTTTTTCTTTTTGTGGAAAATAAAAATATATATTTTATTCAATATAAGGGCCCTATATATTTAAATTCATATGAGTAATAAAAGGAAATACACTTAATTACCAAGGTATGGATATATTATTAATATACCCTCTATCTTACTTAATGTAAAATTCCTAACGCTCCCTCTCAAATCGATAAATAAATATTATTCATTCTCATTTTGGTAATAATAGTGTAAGATGCATGATTGTTTAGCCCTTGGGTCTACACATTTGTAAGTTGCAAAATAGTGGGCATAGAAGGTGTGCATATAAATGCACTATCCAGTTTTTCTTTGATGAAATATCTATCAACTTCAATGTGCTTACTTATGTCATATTTTACTAGATTGTGAGTGATAAAAATTGTCAATTTATTACCACAATAAAGTGTCATAGGCCCATCTCATTCAATTATTAGGTCTTCCAGGATCATCTTTAACTGTAGGAATTCACATACTCCTTGAGTCATGATTTTGAATTTTAACTCTGCACTAGACTAGGCTACCACATTCTGCTTCTTACTTTTCCGTGTAAATAGGTTCCCTCCAAGGAAAGTATAATATCCTTAATGGTTCTCTAGATCTCTTATCAACTAATGTTCCAATGTAATCTGCATGCGTGTAAACCTCAAGAAGTAACCCATTGTTTGTCTTCAACGATGATTCCTTGCTCGATGTACTTTTCAAGTAGTGTACGTGTAGACAGTTTGTCAGTGTACTTCTTTGTACTTGTGCATGAACTAATGTACTACACTTACTATATAACCGATATTTTGTGAATGTGTCTGGAATTTTTTTAACCTACAGCTCTAATACCATGTGAAGAATTAAAGTATGTACTTTATTGAATATTAGGACAACATAATATGAGCAATAAAAGGAAATGTACTTAATTATAAAGATCGAATATATTACGAATATATCATATACCCTACCCTACTTAATATATACTTTCCAACACTTTAATTTATTTAGTGGAAGTTGATTAACTATTTCTTATTGCTTTTCTGTGGAAAGTTTAATTATATGCACAAACATAGTCAGGTCATGAAGTTACTCATCTTACCTGCGCTGTATTTTTATTTTGTTGTCTTAATCAAACAGCTATTCCTTTGGAAAGTGAGGTAAAATCATGTTGGCCATTTATTTCATGATCTGTCTGGAAAGGGAGAAAAGTCTGGAACATGCCCATCGTTAATAGAAACAGTTAAATTAGATAGAATGCTGTAAATGAATAAATTTAGTTTTGAGCTGACTTTTTAAAAATTCATTCCTTCATCATGTACAGCATATTGCAAAACAACGTGTACCTGGTTTGCCGAATGACTTGATGAAGAAAGGAAAGCACTTTATATTGATAAGAAATCCTCTTCATATACTGGTAAGCAGGGAAAGTTTTCCTTATCTTGGTTGCTATATGTCTCACATTAAGAAATCACTCTTAAATCAATTTGTATGCCATACTGTTAGCTTCAAGAGAGCATTAATTTTCTATATACTCTTGAGAGAGTATTTTCTTCCATGTCAGGAACTGCATAAGTTTTGAAAATTTTGTTTTCCTTTACGCCATTGTATACTTAAGAGTTTTGATGCTTTTTTCAGTCATCTTTTGACAAGGTTGTGCCTTCAACCTTTCTGGAGCTGGGTTTGGCAGAACTAGTCTCCATATACTGCGAGCTGTCTGCATTAGGAAAGCCTCCACTTGTAATCGATGCAGAAGATCTTCAACAGGATCCTGAGGTCTAATAGCTTTCAATATGTGCAGGATTTACTAAGTGGTTATTACTTCTTAAAGCATTTTAATGATCAGAAACTATTCATGCCTTTCTCTCATTAGAGGTGGCCCTATTAGAAATTGCCATGAAAAATGGTAGAACAGATAAAAAATAATCTTTTCAAAAATAGTAATCTAGTTTATGGTGTTCAATGTCTAACCACTGATATATCAGATGTTTCCATTGGCTTATGAATGTTTTTTATGTTGATAAATTTGGATATTCTTCAGCAGTTGGCATAACAACCATTTCTTACCTTTCTATGGAAGAAATTTTTAGTTCATTAGGGCATTGAAATTAACTTTGTATTACCTTATTAGTAAATGCACAAATTATTAAGTGTTGAGTGTGTTGAAGATCAACAGAAAAAGTTGATGGATATTTTATAGCCAACTACTCAAGCACGGATAAGTCTGGTTGTAAAGTCTGTTTTCTGTAAGTTCTCCTGCATATGAGTCAAATTAACATGAAAGTGGATTTGAGTTGAGGGCATGATGTTTAGAGAAGTTTCTAATCTAACCTTCAGTTAGAAACTGCAGTAATGAATTTGAAGTTTTTAAGTGGCTGAAAGTTTATTTGTCTTTTCCCTACGAAATAAACTAGTAAAAGGAGTATGATAAAAGGTGTGGGAAGAGGGAAAAGAAGCTTAGCTACATGGAGATGGCAAAGTACACGGACTTGAGGTGGAGATGGTAAAGTTCATCTCAGTAGGGAATTCTACTGATATGAAGATTTGATTTAATTTGATTTGATTTTCTATATTTAGTTTCCTAATTTTCTTTGTAAATATGTACATATTTATGTAATGCCCCTTCTCAGTATCAGAAAATTCTGTTTCTCTGTGAATTCCACATTCTGTATAATCATTCTGTTTATCTTGCTGATTGATAGGCTACTTTACATGGTCTTTGTGAAGAGTTGGATATTCCATTTCAAGTATCAGAAAATTCAGTGTCTCTATGAATTCCACATTCTGTGTAATCATCTGTTCATCTGTTTATCTTGTTGATTGATAGGCTACTTTACATGGTCTTTGTGAAGAATTGGGTATTCCATTTCAAGCCTCAATGCTTAGGTATGACTATACATTTCTCATGTAAAAACTTACATTTGTTATCAGTTCCACCTTTCTGGAGTTTTCTTCTCATGGTCACTATGAAGGTAGCTTTTTGCATCTACAGTTAGACAAAGTTCCTTTTCCATTTCATCTTAAGAAACCTAAGCAGCTACGGGCTTAGTTCAGTTTATTTAAGTCTTCTCCTAATCAATCTGGTTCAGCAATTAAATCACCGCTTGCCTGTTTGATTTTATTCCAGGGGATATCTTTTATGTTAAGTCATAACCCAACTTCAATTATTTGCCTTCCAGATCTTTTTCAGTTTACCATAGGAAATCTCCCTAAGAGTTTTTTTCTTCTATCCTACCAGTTTTACAGATATAGGTGCTATCTCTCCCGTACAGTTGTGTATGGCTGAATTTGTTAATTCTTTCTAATGTTAATTTAAATGTCACTCAGATGGGAGAGTGGTCCAAAACTAATAGATGGGATTTGGGCCCCTTGGTGGTACAAGAGCGTTCATAAATCAACAGGTTTTGCACCTCCAAGGAGGTATCCTGCAGTACGTATCCTACAGTATGTAACTTTCGTATTGTGTTTCATGCAAAAATACTGGAATCTTTTATCCTGTTACATATGCAGAACTCACTTTTGCTTTTGTCATTTTAGCACCAAAATTCAACGCTAGCATACTGCATGCACAAATTCACTGATGAAAATGAAACTCGGATTTCTTGCCCATACTTGTGCTGTATTTATGTATGACCTTAACAAGAATTATCCTAATTACTATAAATAAGTCACTTGTAGCATAAACAGTGAGCACTATTCATATAAAGCCGAATAGGTGATATATTCAATTCAAGGTTTTATTTTTTCCTGTTACATTCTATTAAAAGATATTTTAATTTTACTTTCAACAATATAATATAATTGACTTTCAATTTGACTGACTTTTACATGGAAATGAAATGGAAACATATTGTATAGACAGATAGCTCTGATATAATTTGTGGTTTGTTTGTATATTCTTTTCAGCCATTTTCCTTTCTCTGTATGACTTGCTGGTGCAAAGTTTATGCTTAGTTTTTGTCTTGCTTTCAGCCATTTTGCTTCTCATTGTATGAATTGCTGGAGCAAAGCTTACCCTTCTACAACACACTTAGGCGCCATGTGAGGCATAAATCATCGCTTTTGAAGAGCCCCTTACCTCCACCTGATCTTCCAGTTCCAGCAAATGAGAAGCTACTTGCATGGGTTGCTGATGAGATTTTACCTCGTGAGAGTGCGAAGGTGACTAAGTTTACACATAACTATTATGCTTGGGTTTTACCTTTCTGTTTATATATTTTATACTGAATGCTCCAAAATTTATCATTCTCACCCTGTGGCCATGCAAGGTTTCTGTATTTGATTCCGTTGTTCAAGGCGGTGATTCAGTATGGGAAGGACTTCGAATTTACAACGGGAAGATATTTAAACTTGAGGAACATTTAGATAGGTAAGCACATGGACAATAAATATTGTAAAATAAGCGCTTGGGATGAGTGTTCTTATTATTTGGGCAGCCATATTATTCTAGTTGATAAGGTTTTGGTCTTTTGAAATCATTCAATGAGTTGATTTGTTACATTTATAGATGAATAAAAATTCTTGATTTTCCGCTGCCAAGTCATCTTGAAAAAAATAGAAACTAAGAAATCTGAAACAAGCATATTCATGCTAATAAATGTTGCAGTAATTGACAGTTCTGAATTTTTTGTTGCTGCAGCTAAAGATATCTGGTTTGGAGCTTTTAAAATATAATAGTAATCTGTTAATCACACTTGTGCAGATTTCTCTTCATTTTCACTTTTCCCTCTTTTCTCTTAAATAAGTAAGGTAATTACCTTTTCATGTATATGTGTGTGTTCATGGCATCTGCATTTTCATGAAATATTATATATGTTGCTTCCACAATGTTTTTCGTGGAAATCTAAGATTCTGAATTCCAATCGGACAGTTTCCACAACTTCTAGAAGCTGTGGTGGTCTATTCTTTAGTTGTTTAATTCCAACTTCTTGGACAGTTTGCACATTGATGGAAATTATAAATTTTTTATGTTATCATTGTGCGGAAGATGGTAGAGCCATCAAGGGCATACTTTTGTAATTTTTTAGAAACCCTGATGCCCAATATTGTATGCCTGCTGTGGAGTTTGGAACTCAGTGAATTCTGCACTTTTCTAACTTGAAACTGAAGCAAAGGAAAGTTGGGATCTGGTTTTTGGTTTGTTTGGAGTTCTCTTGCTACTCCAGAAATCTGTGTTACCGTTCTTAGACGGAAGGCATCCTGAAATCTGTTGATAAGGTTTCTATCAAAAGTATTTTAAAAAAAAGGAAAAGAAAAATGTTTCTATTAAAAGTATGCACGTATGCATATATGTATGTGTGCGTGTGCCAGTGTCCTTGTATAAGAGGATAAGGGAGTTTGGACTCAGAGACAGAACTTTGATGTAGTTTTGCAGTGAGGAGTATTTGATGGATTGAGGATTTGCTACATGCTTCTCCAGAGAGTTTTCTCTGTTGAAGGCGCTTTTTTACTTTCTCAAATTTCTCATTTTTTCAGGAATCACTTTTCTTGATTTTCTGACTCCTGCTTCCTATCTTTTCAGGAAATTTGGAGACCCTTTTAAATCCTGTTAAAATATTTTGCTTGCCAAAAAGTTCTGCTAACTATTATTGAAAATTTCGTTGTTGGGATTCATATTAGGTTGTTTGATTCGGCAAAGGCTCTGGCATTCAGAAACATTCCTAGTCGTGAAGAGGTGACACTTTGATGATTTCTATATTTCATAGCTATTTTTATGGTGTGAGCAGTTTATGGTAACTGATGTTAGTGCATCATTTTGCACCGTTACCTCTCACCTCTGCTTTGTAAAATAGAGGATTGTTTCATCTTATTAAAGTTTCTTAATAATTGCAGGTCAAAGAGGCTATATTTAGAACTCTCAATGTCAATGGAATGTTTGATAACACACACATCCGGTTGTCACTTACCCGTGGGAAAAAGGTACTATAGTATGGTTCCTTTCTCTCTCTTGCTCTGCATGTCTAAGAGTTATTTCAGTACCTGAAAGAGACTGAATACTCAGGATAAAAAATACAAGCTAGCACTTACCACACGCACACATGCATTTGTTTTTACTCCATTTCCAACTTCCATAAGTTTCCTGCAGTTTGAATGTTATATGGTTGATGGCTTTCTAGCTAGAGGAGAACGTGGCATTTTGAGAAGGTAGCTTTAAGAAAGTGCTGATTTCTGGTTTTCGTCCTTCCAGCTCCAGTCATTTCATTACCTAGGCCATTGATAAAAATTGAAGTATGGTTCTTTTGCATATGGAACCACTTGTATTGATAATTCGAGGAAGATGGGGAATTTTCAGTCAATAATCTATACCTTTGTAAAGGCAATGGCAAGAGCATCAAAGATCATTTATTGTGGCATCTATGGTTGAGAATGTTGAATGATAAAATTGAACAAATTTTTTTACAAGTTTAAGATGATAGGAAATGGTTCAATTTATTATGTATGCATTAACACTATTCCTCACATACAAGTCCTTTAGACTCAAAGTATTGATCAACTACAAATCTACCTATCTTTCACTGAAATTAATTAATAGAAATGGAGCGATAGGTAGGATTTGAACACTAGACATATGACTTTGATGCCATATTTTTTTTTTTAGTAAAGATTTTGATACTATGTAAATAATATAGTTGAACTGATTTTCCTAAAAAGTTAAGCTGATAAGAAATAATTTAATATGTTATTTATTCATCAATATAGACAATTTGTGAAGATGATTCTTACTTGCATTGGTTTGTCCTGGGATGTGGTAGCCATATTGGCTGCTATCAAGGACTTGTACTTGGTCAACATTCATGCTTCTAGGAAGGTTGTGAAGAACCTAGCTTTGGTGCCTCCGTTGAATTTCCTGCATACTATGGAGGGACAAGGATACAAGAGGTTTTGGTAATATGGAATAATTTTGTCTATAAGATGATTTCGTGTGTTAAAATTTTTGGGTGAAAGAATGGTTTTCAGGAAGACTATAGATACATTAAACTTTTGTCATCTATATAATCTTTTCACTGTAAATATGTTGTACATAGGTTTGCACCCCCTTGGTGTTTGTGAATGGATCATACTATACTATTTTTATTTCAAAAAATAATAATAATCTTTTCACTGAGCGCCCCCTTTGTGTATATGGATATAGTTTCTTTTTCTTATTAGAGAAACTCATGTTAAAGCATGCACATGTTGTTTTCTGTGCAATGTAGTATAGGGGACCTGTTCCTATCAATTGTTTTGGTGTAGAAGATGTAAATTTGTTTTGTGTTGAAACATTCTTGGTCATGCTCTCTTTTTTTCTAATTTGCAATATTCTTCTTTCTCAGGTCACTTCTGGGATGAGCCCAGCATTCAATCGTTATGGTTGTACTTTAATAGGTAAGATGATAACTTATTTCTGCATTGCAATAATAGTACTAGCTTAGTGTTCCTTCACATCTCTTGGACAAGTGCATACTGGCTTTGAAGGGGTTCCATTCTTAGGTTCAGAGGATGTTGGCTTCCAAAATAGTACTATTTGTATTAAAGTTTGTTTCTAGTTTCTTTTGGTTAAGTCATAATGTTCTCTTTATAAATAATGTAAATTACCAATTTCGTCTTTGAACTGTCTGCAATGCAATTCAGTTTCAAATGATTTTCTTATTATGATTTGGTTTATGAACTTACAAAATTGTTTTAGTATGTAAATTTTCAATGACTTTTTAGCAGAAATAACAAAAATTCTTCATCTCTTGCTTGTGTGACATAAAAGATTACTTTAAAAAGTAAATGATTTTATTTAGATCTAGGAGTTGAAAAAAATTCCAAATTGGTGATTGCAAGTATCTTCTTTTTCTCTAATGTCTCTTATTATTATTTGTATAACTAAAATAAAAAATACTTATTCTGGTTAAGTTTATTTAAAGTTAACCTTTAGTTATAAATTTTAAAATTTTATAAAAAATAAAAAATATAAGCAAGACATAATGAACTTTTGTCATTTTCTATCAGAATTTTCACAATCATACAAAAAGATCACGAACTGAGATTAATGACTAAATTATAACAAAAAAGTTTTGGAGCTAATAGTAGCATGACAAATATAGTTAAGGGGCTAATCGAAATTTGTACTGAATCGACTTTCTCATGCTACAATCAACATATTTTGTGAGTTATGCAGTGCTTCCAGAATGGAAACCCCCTGTCTATGACAACATCAGTGGTATTACTCTGGTGACAGCTACAACGCGTCGTAATTCACCAAATGTAAGATTTTGGTGACTTTTATTGCACTTAATTATCATCATAGGATGAAACAAGATATCAGTTAACATGGCAAAATTTTGTGTCATAAACTAGTTCCTCCCAGTAACACTTAATTGTCTTTTTCTCAATTGAGCAAACTTTTGTTTGACATTGAAAAAAGTCTAGTTGCCATGGAACTCTTGAAACTTGTGCAGCAGAAGTGATGAATCTATAAACTGGGCAATTGGAGCTATTTCAAAAATTTTTAAAAAAAAAAAAAAAAGGAAAGGAGCATAGTTGAACCTCCTATTCTTTTTACCTTCTGGGTTGTCTTCAGCATTAATTTTGTTTGCGGAATGAGTTAGTATGACCTATGTTACACACCAAAAAGAAAAATAGATTAGTAAAATCTCAGTTTCTGCAAATTGGGTCCCAATTTCTTGGTTGTTTTATCTGTTCTGTTTACTCTCAATTATTCATTTGGCTTAAAGTAAATACCTGTCTTTCAAGTTTTATTAGTTTGCTCAAGAGTGCTTCCTGAATGCAAATTTTATAGGGTGTTCATAGAGTTGTATTATTCTTTGTCCTTTTATATTCCTGTGGGTAAAGTTGTCAGCATGCTGATTAATCAAATCCTGCGAAGTTTCATGTATTGAATTGAAAAGGCTTGCAGGACATATATTACCAGAAAAACTAATTAAGATTTAAGAGTAAATTAATATGATCTTTATTTTAGTTTGTTCTATTTCATCAACATTGGTTAGCTTACCAATGAAGTGAATGTGACTTTCTTTTTTTTTCCTCTTTTTGTGCCAGAATTTGGATTCCAAGATACACCACAACAATCTTCTGAACAATATATTAGCAAAGGTATGGTTTTGTATATCCTTAATGGATCTCTAGAATGGGTCAGATGGCAAACAAAATAATGGAGCAAATTTTATTTTGCATGGGTAATTTGATTTTAATTCTTGATAAACAAGTTATTAGCATGATGGCATATTTATGATAAACTATACTCTTATGGTATATGATACTACAATGATAAATTTTTATACAAGATCTATGGATCCCATCAACTCCCATCAGTTAAAGGATTGATTGTCTGTTGATAAGCTATGACTCTCTGATTGAGTCTGTTGGTGCAAGCAGGTAGAAGGAAATAATGCACATGCTGATGATGCAATCATGCTTGACAAGGATGGTTTTGTATCTGAAACAAATGCTACAAACATTGTAAGCCTGCTACCTTTTTTTGCCCTTTCACTTTTTTACTGTTCTAATTTCCTGTCTACAGAAATTGGAAGGTTTAGGTTCTTAAGATTCCAAAGATGGGATGTCAACTGTACAAAATGAAAGTCTTCATCTAGAATCTATTTTACCAACACGTGGCTATTTTCTTTTTGTTTTATTTTTCTTTCATAACTTAATCTGGATGTTCAGCAAACTTCTAATGATTTTATTGAACTAATTTTCAAACCCCCAAAAGTTAGATCCCACTTCCATGGAGGTCTTGATCGTGGCTCATCATGGTGAGATTTTACTGGATATAATCAGGAGTCATTGTCTCTGAATAAAAAAAAAAAGTTTATCTTTGGATAAGATATTTGTATATTGAATCGTTTCTTTAAAAAATATTCATATGTTGTATATTGCAGTTTATGGTGAAGAAAGACCGTGTGCTGACACCTCATGCTGATTACTGCCTTCCTGGTATTACCAGAGCCACTGTAAGTTGCACACTTCAAAGTTTGTTCAATCTAAAGTTGATTAATAATGGTTGACTTAAACAAGTTTAAAGGAGATATTACTTTTACCGTGCAGGAGAAATAAGGAAAATATTTTTTTCGATTTGGGAGAAATATGTGAATTTTATCTTCAGACCTTTTAGAATGCACAGCAATTTCTAATCTAAACTTTCAGTCTGAGCTTTCTGTTAATTTTGATTTACAACTCAATTCACTAATTTTTGTGGGTTTGTTCAAATTAATCCTTTTTTTATGCACAAGATGAGAAAATTTGTGAAGGTGCCAACAAAGATTTTGAGGTTCCGAGAACCTAGGGATGGGTTGTCACTTCCAGTTAACTTGAATATTACCTTGCGGTGAGCGTGCGCTTGTGAATATGTATAATCAGGAGTTGGCTGTTCCTTTTTCTTGTATCATTGGCAGATCAGAACCCACGTTCTAGTAAACCATTTGATTTCTTCCTTTGTTTATTTTTGCATTTTGGTATTGATATGACCACATAGATGTTGAACTTTTACAGGTTATGGACCTTGTGGTGAGTGAAAATTTAGTCCTGGAGGAGCGAAGGATCAGCTTATCAGAATTCCATACTGCAGATGAGGTTCTTATGAGAAATACTCTTTTTTAAAAAAAATTCATCTAATTACCTGGATTATCTTTTCTAACAGCTTTCTTCGTTTTTCTCTGTGAAGATTTGTTGAAAAGTTTTATTTCAACTAGTGATGAGTGCCTCTAAGAAGTTGATATTGTTAAGATTTAAAGCATATGCATAAGTTGTCTTCTTTGTCCAAAAGTTTGTGTTGAAAAGGGCTACTCCATCTAGAGATTATTCTACTACATAACCTGTAAACAAATCACTCAATTCAGATGCATTTTCTGTTAAACTCATTCTTTTGTATTAGCTCCTTTTGATAGTTTCCATGAAAAATTATTTTTCTAATGGCTCCTCATTTATGATGCCGATACCATTGCCTTGTCTTCTTCTATTTTTCTGTTTGTTTATCCCTTAAAATACATTACAATTTAGATGCATGTCTTGCAGGTATGGACAACAGGGACAATGGGAGAACTAAGCCCGGTATGTGCCTTCATTTTGAAATGAATAATTCCTAGTCAGGATGGCTTACTAGTCACATGGGAATGGAAAACCATACATAGTTGATATATGCCATATCTTAACCAATTGCACTGATATTGGATGCCAAATTTTATATAATTCTTTGTAGCACTGATACTGGATGCCAATTTTATATAATTCTTTATACGTCAAAGCAAGAGGTAATTTGCCTATTTGGTGTTTTCAAAATTAATAAACTGAAGACTAACAAACAGCGGTAGCTTTTTAGATACCCAGTTAAACTTTAATTTAAGAAAACAAACTGGGGAAATGTGTTTTTATCCAGTTGGTGATCAGCACCAAGCATCCTGCAAAATTCTTCTCGTGAAAGTTAGCTTCTTATTATGCTGCCAAATGGAATCTGTTAGTAGGTTTGATATGGACTGTGAGCTCCTGCTGTCTCAAAGCAATTTACAAACATGCTGTACCCAAATGATTGCTGAATCTTGCATGTAGCTTTAATTGCCGAATTTATTGTTGTGTGACTTGTTGAATAACTAGGTTAAGAAACCATAATCGACGATTATGGTCTCATTATTCATTATAGATTTGCCGCTGCAGAGTCTTGTTACATTGAGTTGGAACAACTATACTAGTTTTAGGCTATGTTTGGAACAAATGAGTTTTATTCTAGAATTTATTTGGAATGTAGACTTAATTTAGTTACAAAACAGTGATAACAGTACATATGAAATGGTGAAAATTGAAAGAGAGCAATCCACTTCATGCAATGCAGGATCAGGCACTGCTTATAGGAGGCTGCACCACTGAACTGTGAATTACAGAAACTAGAAAGTAGTCCTAAGTTGCTGTTTGTTTAATAGGTTTTGAGCAGCGAAATAGCAATTTTTCTTGGATTGCTTCAACATCTGAATTTAATTAACCAGAAAACTCAACTAATTAAAATTACATTGGTATGGTGCCTTATATTATTGTTCATTAACTGAGTAAATCAAGTATTCATTAACAGGTTGTGAAGATTGATGAGCGCATAATTGGTGACGGAAAAGTGGGACCTGTGACTCAAAGATTGCAAAAGGCGTACAAGAAGCTGACAGAAGAATCAGGCGTGCCTATACCATCCTACCAAGAAACTTGAACAAGATAGGTACCTCTAAAGCAGGTGCATTTTATCAGCTAGCCCTCGAATTTTTCTTACATGTTTTTACCATTTAGTTCCAGAATTATGTGGGTTTCTCTGCAGTAAATTGGATGAGATCACAATCTCACTTGTAAATGCTCCACCAAAAATTAAATAAAAATTACAAATAAGAAAATAAGGGAGACTGGAAAAACTAAAATCGGAAATTTTGTACCCTTTATCTTGCTCATCTGCAAAGCCAGTTAGGAATTACAACAATAAACAAAGGTATAGAACATCATAGTCTTATGTAATTTAGTTCTGCATATATGTACGGCAATATTGATTGTTCTCTGAAAATTAATTAGTACAAGAAAACATGGCCGCTCCTTGAAAATTAGTGTACTTCTCGACTTGCAAATTACTTAGCATCACTCATTGACCCATACTCTCCACGTAAGGCACTCACAATCCTTGGAACCAAGCTAACAAATCTCTACAGTTGGAATTCAATATACGGAGAATATACTCGTTGACCAAGTCAAGAGAGAACAGAATACAAATAGCTTTTACAAATTAAGAATCCCGAACCCACCCAAAATAAGAATTTGTGAAAAAAATCCTAACAAGTTATCTTGCAATGATCCGAATTTACCGCAAACAAGTTTCTGAAATGTGTTTTCACTAGCCAGCTTGATAAATGGAATTTCCTTATGCAGGTTAATCATCAAAGTTGGACACGCGAAAATTGAAGATGAAAAGAACTGCCTCTGGAACAATAATAAAAGTCGAGCATATGGAGTTGCATTTCCTCCATTTTCCTCAAATGGGCGGTCAGAGGCTTATTGTATTCAAGTTCTAATTTATCTCATTTTTTAAGATTCATCGACAGAAATAATGGAATTAAAATTGTTCAGCAACGAATCACGTTGATATAAACATTATCTTTAACCAATATTATGTTTGATATTTTAATGTTTGAATAAATTTAGTTCAGGATATATTCCATTATTTCTCATCTCAGTTCTTAGTCCAAATAACCAAGCTCAAATATATTGCTCCTGACCTGAGACCCTTAAAATAATGTTTAGAAGTTTTAAGATTATCTTAGAATGTAGAAATTATGAACAAAAATATATTACTGCAAGGTTGTATCAGGTTCAATTCTTATTCAATCTTTTTAAAAAATTTTAGTTCTAGTTCTTACATAATTTTAATATGCATAATTAGAATATTATTGTGTTTAAGATATTGTCATCTTACATTAGAAATGCAAGACGATAACAACGGTAAATCAAATGCATATCCTATCCTAATTACGGGTGACAAAGACTTATGTGAAAATTAAAGACAGAAATTGATTAGAAATTGAACCAGAATTCAACACAAACCACTGTAAAGAAACAAATCAAACCAAAAAAAAAAAATTGTGACAGAATTTACTCAAACATTAAAAAAATAATAATAATAATAATAATAACGGGCTGAATCAAACAGAAGTAAAATTGCATATAAAATTCCTGTACAAAAAAATGGATTCACGTTAAAGGTGAAGATTTGCAGTCAATTTGGTGAATAGCCCCAATTTCACAAAGAACGAGAAATGGCTTGACTGACCCATTTGATAAAAACTGAATACCTAATTAATTGCCAAAAAGAGATAACGAACACCGACCATTGGTACAATGACCTCAAAAATCAAACGCATGATGTTCAATTTCTCCGGCCTCCCCACTTTCTTTACTTTACAATTCCACGATATTATTAATGGAAAAACAGTCGTCTACTGTCCGTTGATTGGTTCAAAAACGATCTCCAGTAACTGTAAATTTCAGTGACCAAAACAGAGATTGAGGAGCTTATTGAAAAGTTTGATTGATAATACAAATTGGATGTCATATCTTGATTTCGACAACTTTCTTTGATCATTCATTTGCATCATGTTGTCTTTAAAATGGAATGTTTAGACATCACCTGACTTGACTACTTACGTACAAAATTATTTAATTCGAATGTTCAGAATTCAGAGACTGATACCAAAAATTATCATCTTCCCTCATTTGTAAAATAATATTAATAATTCAAATACCCAAAAGAAATTCTCTACACATACATTTATGGAATTAACACACACACACACACACACACACATATATATATATATATAGACAAGAAAAGAAAAGCAAAAGTAGAACCCTTCATTAATTAGTATACAATTATGGCATGCATGTGATACTCATGGACTAACTTTGGGTAACAATCAATTAGACCATGGAATATTTACTCCACCAGAAGCCAAACAAATTAAAAGTTAGAAACTTTGTCAAATCTAATCATTTTGTTAGCAATAGTATTTGCATTGTTCTTTGAATTATATATTTGTTTCATTCACAGTTAGTACTGATTTACATATAGAATTATATACAGCACCCATTTATACCAAAATCAGCCAAACAAGTACCAGTTCTTCATTCTCACCTTATTAATGGAAATACATACACAGAGAAGTCTGTCTCGCTAGTCAAAACTCTCTTGAAATTAATCCTAGAAAAGAGAAACCACATATGACACGAAGCTTGTACCAAAACCAGCCAAGCACGAATCAATTCTTTTTTTTCCCCCTAATTGAAATATGTGTATATACCTGTGCGTGTGTGTTGTAGATATCTATGCATACAAATTCTCCAACTTTTAATTTCAACAAGTCGGGCCCAATTCGTGTGTGTGTGTGTATAGATATATATATATATATATATTAAATAAGGATTGAATTCCTTACAGAATATGATTAATAGATTCTTTCTTCTACATGTTTCATTTTCATTTGCTGTTTCAGGGTAATTGTCTTTGTTATCCTTCTCATAACTTTATATCTCTTTTGCTTTATTCCATTTGATCCCCCCCCCCCCCCCCCCAAGCAAGTCGCTGTCTGCTGCTATAATAATATTATTAAATTGCTTATATAACTTTGCATGGATCAGTAAATATATATATATACATATACAAATATATATTTATATAGTGTACATCATAATTAAAGCCCATGCATCATCTCTTTTTGTATTCTTCTTCACAATGTGTATAATATAATATATCAACGTTTTGTTTTATATATATACACACACACATCAACTGTATCTTAGCAACAAGCTTACCCACCATTATCATTATTAATGTTTTGATAGTGGAACATAAAATACAAAACTTTCTTGTTCCTTCCTTTACATCAATAATATATATAGTATCATACATATTAAGTTTATGATAATAAAAATAATCATAACTATGAGTTATATATATCTGTATCTATATATATATATATATATATATATATAGCTAGGGAGAGAAAGATCGGAATATTTCAAGGTCCGTGTTCCCTAGTAGAAAACAAGAAGGTAAAAACAAATATAGATAGAGAGAGAAGAGACTAGCTATGGGTTAGAATCTTCTAAAATAGGCCTAGAACACCTGTAAACGATTCTTGTGCGCTTGGCCATGGAGGTTTGGTATACAGTACATTTATATCTTCTAAACATATACATATAGTTCATGTACATATATTCAAGTGCACTCTAGGGATAACAAAGTTTGGTGACCACCAATAATAAAATAATTTAGTAGTTATAAGAGTTTTATACGTTACTTAGAGAATTTTAAATTCAAACTTTACTGAATATATAGATTTTGTCATTTTGAACTACGGTAATTGATTTATAATTCTTTATCCGATCAAAAACTTAACTCATTATTTTCTTACTGGGTTACAGTGATTAAATTCGATTTAATTTTAATAAATTTATTATATTTCTATGCAAAAAAAAAAAAACATCATTAAATGACTAATTTACCTTAATTAGAATAAGTAAGTTTAACTGAAACTAAATTTATTTTTTTTTATTTAAAAAAAAAATAGCCGTAATCTTTATATTATAATTTAAGATAAGTTATTAAATTAGTCTTCAAAATTTATTATTTGTTTTAATTGGGTTTTTTATGTTTTTTCATTATAATTTTGTCTCTATCATTTTTTATTTATTTTAGACATTCAATTTCTTTTTATTTAAAAATAAAATAAAATAATTAAAATACGTTTGGATAAATTCATTCTTTTGAGTTATTATTTAAATTATAACGAACGATGAATTTTAAAAATTATTTTAATAATATAAAATATTAAATTAGTGCAACATAAATTTAGAAATTTTCGTATCGAAAATGTCAAAAAACGACTCTCTAATTTATAATATTTAGAGGTAAAATCTCGTAAGTTAATTAACATTTTTTTTAAAACCTAAAATTATCATATAATCATTTATTTATGTCAATTGTTAATGGTATTATTGACTGGTTTCACTAGAAACAGAAAAGAAGATATTAACAAAGATCATCCAACTACATACTATTATAGATTCCCATAAAAATGAACAACTAATGTATTACAGAGAGATTAGAGTACAGGTTATGTATATGTATATGTATATGTATATATGTAGATGATACTGACATTTTTATAAGGTATTGTGCATATAATGATGATGAGCACATGAAGAGTTAACTAAATGGAGGTAAAAAACGAAGAGTTGCAGAGAAAAGAAAGCTTATCCTTCTATAACTTTTTCATGGCAGCTTTCTGTAGCAGCAGCAGTTCTTCACCACCTCCCACCCCAATTATTATATAAATCCATTCATGGCTCTCCTTCCAACTTTTCTGAAATCAAAACCTTCCATGTTCGTATCAGTTTTCTCTCTATTATTATTACTATTACTTCCTTCTCCATATTCATAAATATACATGTGTATATATATATAAACACTCTTATATCTTTCATCAAAAGAAGTGTATATATATGCATAATATAAATACACACTTAATTATATATTTTGATAAACAACTGTGTATAGATATAGATATATATATATATATAAACAGATGTAATTTAAAGATGAAAATGAGAATAAAGTAAGTCATTGCGAAAAGAAAGAGTAATTATTATATTATTAGCAACCTCATTAATTAGCAGATAATCAAATTATCTTCATACTTAATTAATGAATCTGGAAACTCTCTGCACCAGGGCATCAACAGAGTCTGATTTGATTGATATGTGGTTTTGGCAATGGCCCATTGTAAAGGCAAACCAGCTGGTATGTTGCTTATATATATACACACACACATATATATATATATATATATATTTATATATCTTGGTGCTTTAATTATAAGATATTTAATAGTTAGAAACAATTAGAAATTTGTAATATATAATATTTTTATTTATTTCTATGAGATAATATATATTCGTATTATTAACAATATATTGTATATATGCAAACATTGAATTATAGATTTTTTATAGTTACAAACATAGATATGCAATCACTAATATATATATATATATGTAAATTGCATATGATATGTTTAAATATTATAAGATGTTTAATAATAAGTTACATTTTTTCATTAATAATCATTTTATTTATTTGTGCAGAAGAATGTGTTATAGCCTGTAATATGTATATACAGAAAATCCAAAATATGAAATACTCTATGTAAATTGTGAATTTTAAAGATACTATATATATATATATATATATATATATATATTCTCGTATATGTTTTAGTTTTTCACAATAATATTTTAATTCTTATTTTTCAAGCATTTCTTGATTCTTTTTTGTTTCATAAGAATATATAGAAATCGTTTGAGCGCCCATCAAACAGATCATTATAGGGGTGTGTGTGTATATATATATATTTATATATATATATATATACATGGGGCAAAAGTTTGTATATGGCAAAAGGTAAAAGATGAATAAATCATCCTTTAAAACATATACATACATATATATGTGTGTGTGTGTGTGTGTGTACATATTATATCGGTGATAAAAAAAAAAAAAAAAAAAAAAAAAAAAAAAAAAATTTGCATTATGATCACATACATTATTGGAGTGATATAAGAAGTAGTATGAATTGACCAACCAATTGGTGTGTGGTTCATGCACAAACATACCCAAAAAGGCAAATAACTCTTACACCAAATATTAGATTTCTAATTTGCCAAACAAAAAGAGGATTAGGATCAGATTAAAGAGGGATTAAGATTAAATTAAATTAAATTAAACACAAAAGAAGCCCAACTCATGGCCAGGCCCAGAACAAAACCTAACACTACTCACTGTAATACTAACAATAATAACATGAAAAACTGAGCAGACAAAGCATGATGATCATCAGTTCAGTTCCAAATTATACAAGTAAAAATCTTAATTAACTAGATACAATAATTATATAATTAAACCTAAATTAACTTCAATTTTCAGTTCATCAACATTGCATCTTCTTCATCAATCCTACCTATCAACTGGTAAACTGCTGTAGCAATGTCGTCTACTGAAGTCAGCTTACAGTCATCTTCAACCTGAAAAAACCAGCCATCACCCATTAGTTCAAACCCCCCAAATTTCAATTGGGTTTCCCTTGCTTTCAACCAGTTATTCTTATTCTTACAGATATGGCGGGTACCTGACCTTGACACTCAGAGAGTAAAGCACAGTCTGGTCTACTGTTGAGACATTGAGGTGGAGGACAGTGAGTCGCATGGCGTGTAAACCAGAAACCACTTTCAGCAGCTGCTTCGGCCTCCTTCTTGATCTTATTTTCAGGTTTGCATGGCTTTCCACCATTGTCACTTCAATGTCGGCTATGGCACATTGAGTTGAGTTAGGAATTATTACATGAGCAGCTTGTTCTTCTTCGTTCATGGCAACTGAGTTATGAGTAACTAATCCTCCCCGAGTTGATGATGAACTCGTCGAGTACTGTGGAAATGTGAAGAACTCAGAAAATGGAGCGACAGAATCACTTCTCTCTGGATTTGTGATTTCTTTCTGGCTGCCAAGAAGTTGCAGACGATGTTCAAGCTCCTTCACGAAATTAATGGCGCCTCCGATTATTGATGCTTGATCACCCTTTATAAATAAATAAAGAAAAAAAAAAAAGTAAAAAATTATTTTTTCTTGCATTAAAAAAAGATTATTAATTTATTTAGAAAAATGAGAAAAAAAAAATTATGGAGAATGCTTTATACCCTCTGGACATAAGACTCTGGCATCAAAGATCGGAGAACAGAGAGATACTCATTCATCTGCTTCCTCCGATTCCGCTCAACAGCAATGTGAGTCATTCTCTGGTTCTCGATCTCTTCTTTGTTCTTCCTACTCTTAGATCGTCGTCTCTTCGATCGAGTAATGGTTGACACATTAGTCGGATTAGCACTCGAGTTGGAGCCATCAATGGTGCCGTACTGATTTGAGCAGGAAGAGGAGTTGGGGTGGTGCAACTCGTTGAACTGAGTCTGGCTGACGGTAGAATTAGGTGGTTGTTGGTCAAGATTTTCCGTTTGGTTCTGGAGAAAATTTCGATCTTGATCTTGTTCATCTCGAGCAAAACCAAAGTGACCGTCAAAGCTCCAATTCCCAGCTCCGAAGAGGTTGTAGAGATCTCTGGTGGTGTAACCAGTAAAGAGCTGGTCTTGCTGGAAAACAACGGCCTCCAAGGCCATGATTAATTTTGCGTTGTCTGTAAATTTTCTGGGCCAAAAAGGAAAAGAAAAAGTAAAAGGAAAGTGTTAAAAGGGACTGTAATTTTCAAGAGGAAGAAGGCAGGAGAAATTGGGTACTATGTATCTCTTGGGATGGGGAATTAAAGGGCTTTTAAAGGCCATTGAAATGATGATGATATAACAAAAATATTGATGTACAGAGATCTGCACGTGAAAGAGTATAGAATTTCTCGAACAAGAGAGAGAGAGAGAGAGAGAGAGAGAGAGAGAGAGAGAGAGAGAGAAGTTTGAAGGTAAAAATTATTTTCTTGAGGATGGAAGAGATGGGTTGAGTTCTCTTGCGAGAAAAAGAGCAATTTATTCTTTCACCAAAAAAAAAAATAATAATGAGGTAATGTATTTCATTTTTTTGTTTAATTTTAAATTTTAAATTTATTTTTTAATTACTTATATTTCTTTTTCCTTAATTAATTTTATCATTTTATATCTTATCAAATATTTATTAAATAAAAAAAACTATTATATTAATAAAAATAATTTTTTAAATATTGGTACCAGATTAATAAAACTTGTTAATTAGTCTGAACTTTAGTGTAACTCTTTGTCTCACGCTGCAAACGCAACACAGTTCGATTTAAGCTTTAACCTAACGCAACACGGTTAATAGGACTAACAAGCCAATCGATTCGGTTTAGTCTAGTCTAACTTCATCTTTTGGAGTCCAAACATAAATAGATTTAAAATAATAATAATAATATTCTAAATAAAAATAATAAAAAATATGATCATGGGTGACTCACGTAGATTAGAGTTGAGTCTATCACAAACTAGGTCAATTATACACCAAAGTATACATTTTTTTGAAAATTTTCTTACATCACAAACTCATATAATCTAGTTATTTCGCATCATTATTGATAGAGATGTGCAAATCTCAGCTTGAACTATTATATTTAAGTAATAACCGAATCGGACCGATATGTTCGATTTAGAATAGACTGAGATGCTCAGTTGGATCAAATTATTTTTGGTTTAGGGTTAGAAAGGACAAAAAAAAAATCAACATAAATCGGTTTATTCCTGGTCTCGACTACTAACAAAAATAAAAACTCTAACATTTTAATCGTCCTCATCAACCTTAATCCCTTAACTCTCACGTAACCACACTCGTCTCTCGCCCTCTCCTCTCCGGCTTTCCTTACTCCTTAATCCTCACACGCACGTAGACTATAATACCTCTTCAGAGCAAATTTAAATAATTAAATAGTAATCTCGCCCCTCTAAATTTCAAGACTAGTCTCAACTCTCCTCTTACATGAATGTCTGATTCTCTTCCAGTTGCCGCTCTCCAGATTTTCATCTATCAGTAGTCGGCCCTTACCCTCTATGTCTAACTTAGTTGCCTAACTCTTCTACAGTTTTAAATCTCAAAATCTATGCTAGTTGAGTCTTACTCTCTAACTTAAAGCCTTTAGTATTTACTTCAATGCGGGAATCATTTTTCAACTTTAAGCCTTCAGCACCTCACTCGTTGGCCATCACTCTCCAACTCTAACCCTCTTCTCCTCAGTCTGTCAGCTTAACTCTCGCCTCAACTTAAATTCCAACTCTTGCCTCGCCTTTTCAACTCTCCTCTCCTCACTCACTCGTAGACCTTGCTCTCTGAGCTACTTCTCATCCAACCTCCACTACTCCGGCTCCAGCCTCTAGTCAGTCCACTACCTCCTTTCAAATTGTTCCTCTTAAGTTTGCTTAGGTAAAATGAAAATTTGAGCTTCATAAATAAACTCAATCCTGACTAGTCGAAATCAAGATGAGATTAAAAATATCTGAACAATACTAGACTAAACTTAATAAAGTCTGGTCTTCAATCTAGGAGTTAAGTGTTTTATAATTCCCGAAGTGGTCCAATCGGGTGTTACAATGACGCACATCTTTAATTATCGAATATTGGTTGGAAATAAATGCATATTTTCGTTTACAAACAGAAATCACTCACTATTTGTACGTTTGGTTTATTTTATATGAGAAAACACTAAAAAAATAGTGCATATTTAAATAAATTAAAATCATTTAAACTCTCATCATATTAATCGATATTATTTTTTAAAAATATTACCATTAGTAGTCCACTTAAAATTTTTTTAACATGTAATTTTTTCAAATATTTTTTTATATAACAATTTTCGAGAGTAAAATATATTTTTTTTTTTTTCAATTTTGATAAGAGTACAAGAGAACTCTTTTAAAAAATTAAAAATTTTGTACCCAAATGATCACTTAAAAAATAAATTTTATAATTATTTGAGATACATGTAAATTAAATTTATCACTTATTTAATTAGCTAAAAGATAATATATCCAAATTGATATATACTTTTCTTCCAAAAATGTGTGTGTGTGTATCTATATATATATATATATATATATGTATATTATACCCACATACGCTCTCTCTCTAAACATTTAAGCGACATATGTCATGTCATTGATTAAAATTTAAATAGCAAAATATCTCATTTGAAAAATATCTATCTAATATTAAATGACAAATGATACTCATGAGAAAATATTACATAATTACTATGTAATAAGAAGTATAATATATACTTTTGCAAAAACGGCGTCGTTCCATTAAAAATAAAATCAAGGCATTAACAATTATTTATATATAATTGCTATTTTTTTTTTATTTCCACAAACGATATAACGTTCCCCCGCACGCTCCCG